ACACATAGGTCCCGGCAGAAGTTTGCGCATAACTTAAATAAAATCTACGTATTGGAATTGGGTTAAATATCACCCGTCTGGTATTTTGAGGTTCACCTAATGGTTCGAAATGGTTTTTGTGCAGAAAACTTACACTCAAGCCATTTAGTTCGCTTCTGAAAATGACACTACTTTTGTTCAGAAATTTACTTCTCCGGTATATTTGAACAAAATCTGTCAGAAACTTTCAACTGTGCAGCAAAAGGCAACACTTTTTCCGGAAAAGAGAATATCTCTGAATGTGGACTATGTTCTTGTGTACATAGTATACATATCGTCGGCAATACTGCAAAACGTTCTATGTCACTTTTTACCTCTGGTGCTTAATTGATCTGCTATCTGTATCTGATCGCTTCTGGCAATCGTTCATCTTCATCAGCCCGAGGTAGAAAGTTTTGTTATTCGTTTATTAAGGTGTAGCGATTTGCAAATGCATTCCGGTGCACGTAAAATACCATCTACATAAGTGTCAAGGGTACTAGTAGACATAGGCCGTTTTGCAGTATCACCGACGATATGTAGAAGCGCAAGAGGCAACATTTGAGTAAACAAAAAATAATAATAATATACCGCTTGTTAGGGCTTCGCGTCCGCTTATAGGCGATTTTCTTTCATAACTGGACATTTTTGAGTGTCCGCGTCCGTTTATCGGAAAGTCTGTTTATGGGAGAGCATTTTGTATGGAAACAACCAAAAATTGTTCGTTCCCAAGAATGTGCCCGCTTATAGCAGATGTCCCTTATTAGAGCGTCCGTTTATCAGAGCTTTCACTGGAATATATCACCCCACTTTTTATCCTAATCAGAAATTATAACTATTGAAAAGTTACTCAGAACACTTTTAAGTTTTATTTTTTTTTTTTTCAAACATTGAAATTTTTCAACTTTTTTGAAAAAAAAACTGTTTTTCGGCGTAATTTCGCAGAACTTTTGTTTCCTTTTCAGGAACTCTAGAACTATTGGAAAGAACTCAGGACAGTTTTTTACTTGCCTTTTGCGACATGTAATATGCTGCGTGAATCTGACATAACAATTAAAAAAAAAAATTTGTCGAAATTTCCAGAACTTTTGTTTAGCCTTTTCAAGAACTCGAGAACTACATATTGAAAGCTTTTTTTGTGTGTTTTGCGAAATGTCTTCTGCTTCGTGAATCTGAAAAACAAAAAATTTAAAATTTTTTTGTTTGTTAAAATATCTGAATTTTTTTCAGAAACTCTAGAACTATTGGAAAGCAACTCGGAACAATTTTTTTACTTGCCTCTTAGCGGCATGTCGTATGCTGCGAGAATCTGCGATACCCAATTTATTTATTTTTTTTTTGTCAAAATATCCGTAACTCTTTTTAGCCTTCTCTAGAACTATTGAGAAGCTATTCTTACCAGCTTTTTTTGCCTTTTTGTCAATTCGTATGTCAGCTTCGCATACATTTAAGTAACCTTGAATGATACTTGCGTTAGTTAAACGTACTTCTTTGCTGTAATTCATCAACAAAATTTTTCTTACTAGTAACTCATAAATCGAAACCAACACAACGACAACAAGAAATTCGCTTAAACTATGCTAAGCCAACGGAATACCTGAAAACGTAATAGCGCTAATGAAAATGTTCTTTATTTAAGAGAAGATTTCGCGCTTTCGTTCATCGTACGCCTCTAAATATCCGCGAGGCCTTTTATGAGCATAGCGGCAAAGCTTCTTATGTTTGCTACTCTATAGTAGTTGTTTCCTTTTTACGGGTATTTCTTCTCGCCAAGTATTTAATGCAGCAGCTGGCAACATTTTCTTTGCAACATTGCTGTGCAACGCGGACAGGTGTGCGCTTGCAATGAGTACAGAAGCAGATGTTTACTGTCATCTTGATTCGTTAAGAAATTACAGTTGAACTACCAACTGGTGTTTTTTTTAATGTTCAAACCATAACAGTGCAAATTTGCTTGCATTTTTTACTTATATTTTAATTTTTATTTTTTAATTCTTTTCTTTAACATTCCACTGCAGTTCTTTCTCCCAGCTTTGTTTAACTTTACAGTTTAGCTGTCAGAGTCTGATTTAAGTTTTTCCCTTTTTTTTCGACTGAGCTACTCGCGTTTTCCCTTCCAGCGCTTTCATATTACCAAAGAACGCAATAATTTGCCACTAATCCGGGTCATTTGTCAAAGTTTTTCTTAGCTCAAAAGAAGAAAAAAAAATAGTTTCACTGCGGTAAAGCAATGAAAAAGTGGGAGAGTAAAAAACATCGAGTAATTAGCGCAACTGCAAGGCAAAAAACAACAAACCAGTAAGTATATAGTTTACTTAAAAAATGGGAAAAAACTATGACACAAGCGAACAAAAAAGCAACAAACTCAGTCAGTGAATCGCCTGACTGCTTATTGCCACAATGCCGACTTGATATTCGTATCAGCAATCAGTTGCGGCAGCCAGCCAAACAGTTTACAAGCAGTGAAAGTTTTTGAATAAGTAACCAGCGTAAAATGTAATACAAAGAAACAATAAAATTTGTTTCTATTTTGTTAATAGGAGCATGTCTACAGAACAGTGTTAATGCCCGTGGATGAGAAAATGAGAGCAATGCAAAACGGTGTTAACTACAAGGAAATGCATTGGGTGGCAAACTCTGACTCGGGCCTGCCTTTCTTTCCACATTCGGTCATTAATCAGGCAACGCGTATATACATACATATGTACATTAGGGTGCCCATCAAAATTTCATTTTTTTGGAAATTTTAAGACCCTACCCCCTAATTTTATTCGTTTTTATGAGAAATATTATTGCCTATTTTTTTAGATTTTTTGAAAGTCATTTTAGGTCAGTCGATTTAGGTCAGAAAATAGAATTTTGTAGATTTATGAGTTTTTGAATGACTATTTTTGATTCGATTTCAAAGGTCGAATATGATCTGAGAAGAGGATATATAGGCCTTTAAAATGATATATAATAATCTATTTTCGGACTAGGCTTGTTGGGATTTTTTTATCGGGTATTTCTCTTAATTTTATAAATTTTGACCATCGCTAATTTCTACAATTTCAAAATATGGAGTACTATCTAAAATTAAACTGACACCTTATTTATTGCAATCGTATAAAAATTATCGAATTTAGGCGACTTTTCTTAAATACGGCCTTGCATTTATGTATATGTGTGTCTGTAACGGAATTTCCGATTTTTTGAGAAACGTGGCTCATGTTTATTCAAAATTGATACACACATACAATCACTCTTTAGCAAAAAAGTGGTTTTTCAAAGAAGTTTAGGAGTGGCACCGCCCACTTATATATGCGTATCTCAAAAAAAAACTACTTGACCGATCTCGACCAAATTTGGTATACACATTGTGCTTAGCCTCCTTAAGTACCGTCTTGAATATTTTTGAAATCGAACAAAAACCACGGGCTCACAAAACGGTGGTAGTACGGAGCTATCCGCTTCTTCTATTGGCATCTATTGGCCACATCTGACCTTCTCATCAGCCGACTCATTTCCTTCAATATTACTTTGTCCGGGGACCCAGTACAGAGTAACGTTAATACGGCTAAGTGACGTCAGCGTGGTGAGACGTTTCCATACGATTACCTGACTGTCGAAAAAACTAGGGGCTTTATCTGCTGGAACTTTATTACTAAGTAAAAGATTAGCTCCCTCTGCTAATGGTAGTTCTGCATAACATTAATCTCTGGTCAGGAACCTAATGCGTATCTTCGTGTTAAAGTCCCAAACAGGCGTAATGTAATCAGTGCAAGAGGTAAAATTAGATTCTGGTATAAGAGTTTTCATGACTATTACAGTGCATTTCAAACTGATTGGATTGCCAATTGCCTTGGATGTTGTCAATAACGTTTATTTGCATTGGCGATTGCGTATTAGATCAAGAAGTTCCTCTTCTAGTGGCCGATGAACTTTGATATGTAGGCATTATCATCAATAGCTTTCGGCGCTACCATAAAGAACGGTTCTTTCACAAAAGATAGTTAAGGCTAGGACCACGGATTATCTGAGTGGTTATGGTGGTACTATGCTCTTTACGGAGGCTGTGGTTATGCTTTGCTGGAGTCAAGTACCAGGCGCAGTAAGGGAGTAGAAAGGTTTCACGTGTATTTGGTTGCAGGAAGCTGGGTGTGTAATGGTCGATGGGTTAGAGATGCATGCGAAGTGATGTTGTGTATTGTGAGTATCTTGCTTGCATTCCGGAGGGTGTTCCCACTTCTGGGTTCAACCGAGGGAGGTTAGCAACTGTAGGTCCTGTAGCACCACCGTAATATTTAGTGCTAGAATGCACTTGGTATCCTCCTTCAGGTCTGATTCCTCTATATTAATAGGCAATGGTCGACCACCTGCAACGGCGTAGTCCTCACGAGTCCTGTAGCTTGTTTTAAAGTCATCGCTTTGTAAATTTTTTAGCGCCGTTTTGTATCGCGCTTCGTCGCTACGGGTTGGTCTACGTGCGGCTCGATGTTCGTTCGCCAGTCATGCGGGTGCCGGTATAAGCATCGCGGGTTGGTGTAGTATTTTTGACGGTGATCCCTTCGGCTCCCTAGGTACTGCAGGCCAGCGATTTTAGTACTTATTGAAAGGCAGTGGTATCGCTGGGAAGCAAAAAAAAAGACTAACAAACGTGATCTCCTTTGTTTGGAGGTTCGGAGAATTTGTCAGTGATTTTGTCGCAAAGGCAGTTGGTGCTTGTGTCCGTTGCCCTATGTGGGACAAACGGAACAGAAAAAAAAAATAAATTTAAAATGTTAGAAACGCTTCATATGGAGTCACCTTAAGCTTAAACTATGGTACTGTAAAATAAATACTTCATTTTTTTATTTACATTTTAAATTTTAAATAAAAATAACATGTCTTTTTATATCATATACATACATACATATGTATGCTACTAAACAATTTCTTATTTCTCTTATTCTCTTGACTTAACGTTTTAATTTATTTCCTACTCATTATTTTTCTTTTAGTCATCCGGCATTGCCAATCCTCCTGGCTACTTAGTTGTTGGTGTGCGAACAATCAAAGCTGAGTGCAAGAGTTGGTTCTCCAAAGACCTGCAACAACTACGACATAATCTACAAACAAATCAACACGCGCTCGCACGCACACACGCAGCTAGTTCACCAACACAAAGAATTGGCGGTAAGGACGTTAATTAATCACAAGTTTGCGGTAGTCAATTGTCAGCAATAAGCGAGCAATACCACTGCCATACACACACACACACACACACACAAAAATATACACTTACACTCCCACTAGCCGAGAAGAGAGGCTTAGCTGAGTATCAAAAATTGGCTAACTCCAGCTGACAGGAACACAACACACAAAGCGTGTGTCATTGATGACGTGAGCTTATCAGCAGCGCTTGCCACGTCAACATAGCCGGCAAGCGAGCGCCTGCTGCTGACATCATTGTAAGCGCAGCAGGTAATTAACGAACAACCACCGGCCAGGAGAGAGTTCAAAGCTGAAAGTCCCATCTGCTGCGGCGCACATCCGCAAACGCATTGCGTGCACCGCCCGCAACCACTATATATGTACACAACACACGACATGCTAAGCCACATAAATAACAGTATAGCGAGTTGTTGTCATAGCAACTACAAAATGCACAGCCAGCGTGATCAAGAAACGTGCGAAAGCACAAGCACAAAGCAAAGCAATCACACGCCACCGACGGCGCCGCAAAGACCACGCTACCCGCGCTACCACCGCAGCGCGAGCCTCTCCGCATTTATGCTGCTTATCACACAATCGCTACTCCTGCTGCTGCTTATCGATAGCATTGCGCCTACAGCTGGTAACCCCGATTGGATGCAACGCTGCAGCATGTGCCATTGCAATTGGAATTCGGGTAAGAAAACAGCTGATTGCAAAGCGCGCTCCCTCACCGCCATACCCGACGACCTGAGCAACGAGATGCAAGTGGTCGATTTCTCGAATAATATAATACCCGAGTTGCGGCGTGATGAGTTCGCGGATGCGAATTTGCAGAATTTACATAAAATCTTCCTGCGCAATTGCACCATACAAGAATTGAATCGCGATGCACTCAAAGGTCTCACCATACTCATCGAGCTGGACATGTCGCACAATTTCATACGCGAGCTGCATGTTGGCACTTTCGGCGGGCTGGAAAAGCTGCGCAATCTCGTCATGAATCATAATGAGATCGAGGTGCTGGAGAGTTATCTCTTTGTAGATTTGCCATTTTTTGTCGCGCGTCGAATTTAAGAACAATCGCCTCAAGACGGTTGAAGTTCATGCGTTCGGTCAACAGCCTATGCTTTCGGCTATCTACCTGGAGGCGAATGCATTGTCTGTGCTACGCAAGGAGACCTTTGCGCGCATACCCAAACTGATGCATTTATCGTTGGCGCAAAACCCCTGGAATTGCACGTGCGAACTGCAAGCCTTTCGCGACTTCGCGCTCGCCAATCGCCTCTACACACCGCCTACAGATTGCGCACAACCACCGGCGTTACGCGGCAGGCTTTGGACTGACATACCGTCGGAGAATTTTGCTTGCTATCCGCGCATACTTGGTTCGGTACGTTCATTCGTCGAAGTGCAATCGGATAATATAACGTTGCCATGTCGTGTCGAAGGCTCACCGCGGCCCAATGTCACTTGGATTTACAATCGGCGCGTCGTTAATCCAAATGACCAACGTTTCCGCATACTGAATTCCATCGAGCAGCAGCCACTCATCAGCTCTGACCCGACGGAGTCGATCACTTCCGAGTTGCGCATCTTCAACGTACGCGCGAGCGATAAAGGTATGTACACCTGTATTGCGGAGAATCGAGGCGGCAAAGCGGAGGCTGAATTCCAGCTGATTGTCGATGGCGACTTCTTTGGTGCACTCGAGGGCATGGGCGGTGGCATCGGCGCTTCCACCACAGATACACAATCGAATTTTCTACTTGTCATCTGTCTGATCGTCATCACAGTGTTACTGCTGCTCATGTGTGTGTTGCTCATTGCCTGCTGGTATTGTCGACGTGTACGTTCCTATCAGAAAGATACGACAATGATGAGTGAAAATGGGCTAATATCAACGAAAATGGATAAAACCAATAGTTCAATGCTTGAGGGATCGGTGATTATGGAAATGCAGAAAAGTCTACTAACTGAAGTGAATCCGGTTGAAAAGCCACCACGACGCACCGAACTGGAAAATGTAGATGGGAGCGATGAGGGACATGAAATCAAAAAGACGCTACTGGATGAATCACAATTTGGTAAGTAATGAAGATATTGAATGTACATACATACATACATGATACATAAATATGTATTTAAGTACGTATGTATGTATATGTGCAGACATCCTTTGAATTTGTGCTAATTAAGTACTACCTACTAGGGATGTTAATTTTTTCGCTTTTTGCGATACGGGATTTCCGGGATATGATATGATTAATTCCAAAAATTATTTTAAAAATTCAATGCTATATAGAATAAAAATATGGGTGCCAAGTGAAAGAGAAAATTTCTTTTGAATTAAAAAAAATAATAATTTTTGGAATCACAAGTACGAATAGGTAATTGTTTAAGCTGATAAAGTTAGAAGGACAAAATTGAGGACCTTATTGAGTTTATATAAGTCCTTAACATATATAAGTTTTTAAAAAACAAATATTGCGAAATTTCCTTATGCACCAAAAAATTTAGGCTGTTTAAATTCTACAGAATTTCCTCTTTAATTTGATACCTATACTTCTTCTTCAAGCAAATTTCCCTGAATTTTTAAATCATTTTTGAATTACTGACGTCAGAGTGAAAAAATAAAAACGCAGTTTTCCTATATTTGGCCCACGGTTTCTCTCTTTATATTGATTTTGATGTGTAAAATTTACTATCGCACGGTGTTATATGTATAATGAGCTAGACATTTATAAAAAAATCTTAGTTATTAAATAAAAAAATATATATAGCCAATACTGGTTTCTATTATTGCCATCACTGCTAATTACAAGTCCCGTAAATTTCGGGATCCCGGGATTAACATTCCTATTAGCTACATATGAGTATCTCACTATTTGCACAAGTTCTCTTAAATTAATTGGCTTGAAATGCATCAATTGCATAATCACTTATTTGGACAAGCACACACACATATATTTAGGAGGCTTAAAGATTATGCGGTATTAGGGCAGCTGGTAGTTGCAGGTACGTGCTACTTAGTTTGTACTTGTACTTTCCAGCTCAAATCAAATGACAGCATTAACATATGACATATCAACAAAAGACGCTCAACAGAGCCACTCAGAGTGTCCTTTAAATAAGCTTATCTGATATGTATGATATAAAGGGGTGTATGCACCATTGTACTTAATCAACGTTGAACACGATTTGATATGAATTGGAAAGACAACTTTACTAATTATACATACACATGTACTACATGCATACATAAGTTGTAAGATAAGCACACTGATCGGAACATCGAAGAGTTAGAGGGCGTTATTGTAGTTCTACAAATTGTATAATGTATGTACATATTTTTGTGAGATCAGTGATTACGATTAGTACAGTCAAATTAAAACATTTGTTTGAAATACTCTAATACCAGTCGCAGGTAATATGAAACTTAATTTGTGCATTCGCCTCCTTCTGGAAAACAAATTAAACGGCTATTACGGAACTCAACGTTAGACTTCATACTCGGTAGATATTTTTTTTTTGCACTGTAAAATGCTTCACTTTCTGTTCTGAAGCGCAATTTTTAAACATGTCATTTTATGTGTAAAATGACGTCAACCATAATTCTTGAACTAGAAAATAAAAATTGTCTGCATCAAATTTTACTAGGTGTCAAAGGAGACAGAAATCTAATATTTTGTGACAAAATGAAACTTCGAGCTGAGCGTAGCCGTTCCGAGCGGAGCAAAGCTTACAAATTCCTGTAAATATATGTATGAAAGCGTTCATACAAGAAGCTTTTTAGAAGCGCTTTGGAACTAAATCAAGACAGTGCTTGATTTCGAATTTTCTAGCTTCGTGACGCTGCTGAGAAGGAAAAAAGTATAAGAATTATGTACAAACATACAGTTTTGGCTACTTATCTTTTGTTTATTCAATGTTTATAATTTTTTTGTGAAAGCTTAGTAAGAAAACTATACAAATGCAATCAGATTTTGTAAAAACATTATGAAAATTGTGCAAAATTTTGCTAAAATTTAAACTTCTTAATCATTTTGTAGCAGATTAAATTTTGGTATAATAAAATGCAGGTTTGAAGTAGCTCAGCGTTAATGTCTCGGTTTTTTTTCGCGGTGTTACGCAGTTTTTCCATACACGTCTAAATTTTTTTATATGAAGAACACTAAGCTACAAAACTGCATACCGAAAGATTTTTTCTAAAAATTCTGAGTAGGAAATTTGAAATTTTGGCGAAACTTTGGATTTTTATGGCTTTTGTTAGATAATAATGAGCTTAACTTTCATAAAAAAAAATAATAATGAAGTTTAAATATACAAAAAAAAAACAACATAGCCAACACTTGCTAAAACTTCACTTCCCAATTTATATTTGGATCACTGTATTTACATATTTATGTAGATAAAAATGAAATTTTCGACAAATCTATTCAATACAAATTTATAGAATATTTTAGCAGCTTTTCAATGGATATATGTTTTTGTGGTGTCGTTTGGTGGTTAGTCGTTAAAATGAGCCTTCTTTAAAATGAAATGGAAGTTATTTGCATTTCAAAAATGTATCTATATGTACACTGAGGAGCAAAACCGGAAAAGTAATACAAAATGAGAATTTTCTTGCGATATATTCGCAATATATGAAAACTTTTTTGTAATCTACTTTCGGATTTCACATTTTCAATGTATATTTCATCAGAAGACCATAAAAACAATAACTAACACAAGCAGATAAAGAAAAAAATTGCAAAAAAATGTAGCAACTGGATTGTTCCAGTTTTGGATCCGATAGAAAATTTTACCACTTGCCTGACCATAACCAATTTGAATATTTTAGCTTTTATAGACATCTTGCGATACTTTCGCACAGTTTTTAGATGAAATCTATTGAGATTTCCTACCGGTTTTTCTCAACGCCATACCCAAAGTTTTGCATGCGATTGGGTGAATTTTCGCAATTGAACAGTGGCATTTACAAACACTTTCATATGTTTTCTGTCGGACTAAAATCTGGGCTTTACGCAGGTTTACTCCATGATTATAAACACTTGGGATTTATACCTATTTGGACAGAGTTTCGGAGAATGTTTCTGATCATTATCCTCTTAAAATTGATAAAAGCCTGCGAAAAATATCCTCTGAGATTGCCAAAATCTTTGAAAATGTTCATTTATTGTCACTTCTTCTTTTTGCCATCGATTTTACCACAGTTCTTGCTCCCTAAGCCGTAACACGGCCCTACTTCATTAAATATACACGTACAAACCTAATAGTTTAAATATTTAATTTTTTTTTTTGCTTGGTATGTGCACTTAAAGCACTCACAGTGAAAATCCCACGCGATTTGATTACAAAATTTTAGGAAATGAGCCAGAACTCCGTTCTGAATTATAAAATTCAGCAATTACTAAGAGGGCGCAAAACTGGAGCAGTCTAGTTCCTTTTTATTTGGTCATTTTTTTCAGAGTTTCCATATGCGAATCTCAAAATTTTTATTGTCAAACGTTTAGTTAAACATCGTTAAGGCGAAATGCAAATTTGAATTACCATAAAGTTAATAAACTGAAAAAGTACATTACCACAAATTTAACTTTCCGTTCTATTGTTCCGCTTTTGCTCTTCAGTGTATATGCTTGCATCCAAACTGTTTTGACTTTCCGAAAACCTAAATTTTTCCAATAAGATTGGCATGTAAATAACGTAGCTATCAATGGAGATTTTTATAGCAAACATCGCAGCTATACAACGAATCAATTGCATTCACAACCAAAGTAATTGAATTTTTTTATTTCTAAAAACATTCCCTCCCACAAAGCTTTGTGCAAAAGCTATGTTAGCGCTTTAGGTTTATGTTTCCTGTCAGTTGCAAATTTCGGCATTCTCACCAGCCGCTGTTCTCCGCTAAAGCGGCTGAATGCCTGCATAAAGTGCGGAAGAGTCTCTGCAAATGCGCTGTTTTCGAAAAATCAGCATTGTTGGCGTTCACACGTAACTGCAAGATTAATTGCTTTTGGTGCGGGAAGCCAAATAAACCGTTCAATGGTGGCGCACAAACGCACGCGTATTTATTGTAAAAACTTCAATTTTCTGCAGCGATTGAAAACTTGCTGCTGACTCGTAAACTTTTCTATTGTGATTCCAATTTTTTTTTTGTTCTCATTAAAAGCAACGCTGCGCGCGAAGTGCGCTGTAAAGTTTTGTGCTTGTGCACTTTAATTGTTTTTCAATTTTTTTTTCCTTTGAGGGCACTATTTTTTTTATATAATTTTATTTATTTTTTATCTCTGCCGCCATCAGTGCCCATAAACTTGGTCTGCATGAGCATTTAAAACGAAAGCAAAAAATGTTCGCCAACTATTGTACATACCAGTTTTTTCAATTTTCAATTACTCGCGCCAATTCGCACTCAATTTATTTCTCTTACTCTTATCTCTTTTCCGCCAGGCAATCACCCACGCGACGATGAAACCCACTCGGTCGCTCTATCGGATACCACAGTGCCTCGTGTGCGCCATACCTACATCGATGACACCTACGGCACCAGCTTGCCACCCGATCTACTCGCCTTCCCCGCTCGCGTGCCGCCAACTTCACCTTCCATGCAGTCATCGCACAGCAACATACCCGAACAAATTATCTACGGCATACGTTCGCCACCGCTTACCAGCCCCGTTTATGCGCATATGACGCCGCATGGCATCTACGGCACCACGACCATCGCCGCCGCCACACCGAACGGTTTCATGACACTGCAGCATCCGAAGTCGCGCAATTTGGCATTGATCGCCGCGGCTAACAGTCGTCAGCAGCAACAGCAACAACAGCAGCAGCAACATGTACACCTAGCCCACCTAGCGCCGCAACATGGCGCACAACAACAGCAATCACCCTTCCTGCCAGCACCTGTTATGTACTCACCAACCACAGCGGTGGTGATGAAGCAAGGCTACATGACGATACCACGCAAACCACGCGTACCCAGCTGGGCGCCATCTACTTCCACCACAAATCAGACACAGCTAAGCGAATTCCAGTCGCCCACATCGCCAAATCCGAGCGAAACTGGCACCGCCACGACAGCTGAACTGCAACCGGAACCAGTCTACGACAATCTTGGACTGCGCACAACTGCCGCTGGTAATTCGACGCTGAACTTGCACAAAGTACATCCGGAAGTAAGTAGCTGCGCCTCCACATCCTCACGCTACACAATGCGCGATCGCCCACTGCCGGCCACGCCGAGTCTAACGTCGGTGGCGTCGAGTACAGCGGCCATGCAGCAGCAGCAGCAGCAGCAGCAACAACAGGCACAACAAGTGCAACAACAGCAGCTACAGCAACAGTCGCAACAACAACAAGCTGTACCCAGCACTTCAGCAGCAGCGGCGGCGGCGGCGGCAGCAGCATCAGCAGCAACGGCTTCAAAAATTTACGAACCCATACATGAGCTGGTGAATAATAATCATCACCTGACGACGACCTCCGACACAGAGCCGCTTTATGGCACTGCGCGACATCACAACGGTCTCACCATTGTGCCGAGTGTCAACAATGTTAATAGTGGTGGCAGCAGCGTTGGTGCCTCGAATACAACTGCAGGCGCGAATGCGTCTACGGGCGAGCCTACGAAAGTGGCGAAAATACCGCCACGTCCACCACCGAAGCCCAAGAAGAAGATGTCCGTGACGGCGACACGCGGCGGCCAAGGTAGTACCAGCCAGCTGTTCGATGATGAGGGCGAGGATGGCACAGAGGTTTAGTTGCAAGTACACGAAGGCGGCGGTGGCGACGGCAACGACTGCGACTGCGATGGCACGAACGCCAGCTAAAACTCCTTCAAACTAAAAATGGCTGAATGGTAACTAAAATTTAAGGCATTTCGTGGGCAAAAGTTATGTGCATCCAGTAGTGCGAAAAGCAGAAAAGCAAAATAATAGAAAAATGTGCGAAAGTGTATATATATAGTGTGGTATGTATGTATGCAGGTGGTATTACTGTGTACTCATACTACATATATACATGCTTATGGAGATGAATAGGTATGCCAGCAGTAGTTAGTTGGGGGGAAAAAATCAAAATAACAAACAGCAAAAGGTGGCGATTGCTTCGCCGTCCCTCTCTGAAAGGGCGCGTATTTCTGAAAAATATATGTATGAAATGGCATTTTTGTGGTAATCAAAAACTCTGCGGTGCTTTGGCTGCAAATGAGGCGGCATATACATGCATACCTATGGCTGTGGGCGTGGTGGCGTATTTTAAGACTTTATTTTATGCAAAGTTTATATTTTTTTAATTGATAATTGTAAAGGCAACGATTCGTGGTCGACTTTTACGGATTTAAAAACACAATGCAGAATGCAGCTAGATGTTTGGGGTATATTTTTTGCATCAAAAAGAAAATTATGTGAAAAATTTCGCCTACGTTTTTTGTGGTGGTTAGGGCTCGATATAGGTCTACTCGTGAGGGGATGTCCATTTTTTACCAAATTTCATTAAACCAACTTAAGCTTTAACGACACCGCGTCGCAATCAAGGTTTTTATTTCATTTTTCACATTGTGGTCTTTTAAGTTCTAGCAGCGCTAAGTTAATATGAGTTTTATGATTTGAAAAAAAATTTATTCACAAAAACTTTCTAAATTATTTAAAGACTGTCCTTGAAAGGAATTAAAAAAAGTTAAAGCGCTTTACAGTAGCGATAATAGTAAAAAAAATCTCTAATTTACAGATATCGTATGGACTAGGGTGGTTTTTAACATATTAACCTCATAAGCACCCCTTTTATTTTATTCTACTTACAAAATAATGACATGCAAAATAAAGTGTTAGGGGTAGCTACCAGGGTTTTTAAAAATTTAATATTTTTAATTACAAAAGTTCGACAAAAGTCACGACTTTGCCCAACTATAACTCATATACATTTTTTTCCTTAATAAGTTTCAATAATATGTCAAACTTATGAGACTTCAAGTAGAAATTAAAAATTTTTCAAACCCTGGTAGCCACCCCTAAAAGTCGTTTTTAAATTTTTAAATTTACATGGATGTCTCATTTTGTACGCAGAAAATGAAAGGCCCGCAAATTTGCCCGTATAATCATCAATTAAGACATAAACAAAAGACAAAAAGTTAAGCACAGTATCAAAAAAAAAACACTGAAAAAATTTCGAAGAAATTTTCTTGTGTCAAAATTCCTTAAGACAGAAGGGAGTTCTTAAGATATTTGCTATGGTTTTCTAAAGTTTTTTGTGTACATAGAGCACAGTGGAATCCGGGTTTGCAATATAAATATATGCCCGTTCCATTATTTCGCGAGGAATAAGTGAGGCAGATGTCAAAATTCCTTGGACACTACTATTCACACACCCGAAATAATGACATTTTTTTCTTGCCCGTGTTCTTCAGACCTGGATACTAAGCCTTATGTGCTTTATACCCGGCAATGTCTCGTTTTTATCTTTTCGATCGTTCAATTAATCAAAAACGCAAAATTTTGAATCAGTTGTAGCGTTGAAAATGAAGAATTTCCGAAAAGTCACGAACAATTTTAAAATCTTTAAAATAACTTAAAAAAAAATACTCAAACAAATGCCACACATTTCCGAAAGATCAAAAAAAAAATAAAAAACTTTGATGAGTTCCAAAGAAAAACCAAAAAAAAAAGTTTCGATGTTGGGATATTTTCAAACGAATTAGCGAAAAATATAGTATCGCTACCGCAACATTGCGACTTTCATAACCCACATCGGGAACTTGCGATAATCATCCGAAAATTGTTGTTAACTCGTTTGAGAACAGTCTCACTGAACCTAGAATAATGTGTATTAATATTTTATCTTTCTCAACTCAGAATTTATGCCACCGGAAGAGTTCGAAATGAGTCAGTTTGGTTGGCTGGTCTTAGGATCATATATAAGTATGACGAAAGAAAGACTCATTTTAGACTAATCAATTCTGAGCACTCAGAAGATTGTTTAAAGGGAAGATTACAGAAACCCCAAAATACAACAAAATATACAGTAGCATGCGATATATTTTTTCCATTGCTTACCTAGTTACTTAAAAAATCAAAATCCTACATAAATACATGTGTGCTTTCGGGTGCCTCGCCAAAAAATGTGGCAGGTTTTTCACCGGAATTACAAAATGTATTATATTTTAAGAACTTCTTCCAAATATAACAAAAATCAAATAAAAAAATCGAAAATGAATAAAAGTAGTTTTTTTGTTAAGCACATTTTTCCAAAAAATTACCTCAAATGATAGTGTAAACTTTTAAATCCGCACAAAAATGTTTAAAAATTTTATCAATGATATCTTCTGAGTAATTTTCAAATCGGTCCAGCTATCGTAAATCGCAATATGTTTCTGAAATAGTATGGTGGAAGTCCTAAAGTATATAAAATTTTATAATATCGATGGAAGGATTACAGATTATCATAATTTTTTTTTTTTGTATGGAGTGGTGCACCCCAATGTACAAATGAACTCGCCAAAAGGTTTTAATGTTTTAGATTTTTTGCTTCAATGCGCAATCTGCGGAGGTTATATTATTTGCAAACTACCACTAATTTCTGATCAAAAACATTTTGCTTGAAAACGTCTAAGATGTCGTGAAATATATTTCAAAATTTTATTTTTTTATGCAGAAATGTATCTGGATGCTTTAGGGACATTTCTGCGTCAAAAAATTTAAATAAGACTTGCTGATCTATAACTTTGTTGAGCGAAAATGATCGGCCCAATGTCATCTATCAAAAAAATACCTTGTTGCAGAAAAAAGCTTTGAATTTTTTGCACTATATTTTTCTTCTTTAGACTTAGACATAAGAACCTAAAACCTAAAACCTATCTTTGAAAATTTTCTTCCCGTATATTTCTTTCGTTTACTTAGGGGCCCTTTTCACAGTAGAGAGGATAGAAATTAAGAAACGAGATTTCACTCTATGTAAACTTCCTTTAAAGTTAATCGAATGGTGCTGTTTTAGCTGCAAGCACGTGATTACGTGTTTCACTGAAATTTTAAAACAAAATGAAAACATTATTTCACACAACTAAGCCATCAAATACGTATGTATGTGTGTAAGTTACAACAAATGTCGCCTCACCGCACCACAGCTGCTTTATGCCACCAGCAAAATCGCCATCTGCATTATTTAGGAAGTGAAGTAATCGCGTGACGACTTGTGTGCCAAACGACTGATGTAGAATTTAGTAAATTATACGGAAAATTACAAATACCTATAAAAAAACAAGAAAACTCACTCTTAAAAACATGAAAATGCAATAATCGAGAACAGTGCAAGAAAAGCAAAAAAAAAACGTATGGACTTTCATACTTAAGAAGTAGTAGAGCACAAATTCAAAGAACAAATTATTACATTTTTTCATTTTGTTATAAGTACTGCATTTTTAATTGGGCAACAATGAGAAGAAAACAAAATTCCAAAAATTACTACAAATGTTAGTTAAAATCAAAGTGCTAGGAGGCGGGGGGGAAGGAGGAGGAGGAAGGAGGGAGAAAAAGAAAGAGACCGAAAGCTTGCTACTACTGCAATAGTAGAATTTGATATTCGTGCAACGAAAACTGAGTGTTGTCCTCTGTGCTAAAAAGTTATGTACAAAAAATATTTGCCGCCGAAAATTGCCAGCAATGTATGTTTTCTTTTTTTTATTTTACTAGATTTACTACATATGTATTTATGTAACAACATGAGAGTGCATCACCAAAAAAAATAAATAATATTATATTTTAAGACTTCCGCCAAAATGTTACGGAAAATTATTAAGGTTTGTGTGATCTGAACCGATTTGAAAATACCTCCAAAAATCTTATCTTATCCGCTGATAAAATTTTTGAACATTTTAATGCGGATTTTAAAGCTTAACTGATTTTATCATCTGAACACATTTTTATAGGTATTTTCAAATCGGTTGAGCTCAGCTAAATCTTTATATTTTTCGCAAATATTTTGACGGAAATCTTAACACATAAAATTTTGTTTTTAATTCCGATGGAAAAACAGCACCGATATTTTTTTTTTTCTATGAAGAGTGGTGCATCCTAATATACATACTTTTCGGCAAAGAAGGTTCAATGGGTTTTACATTGATTTAAATCTTAAGTTAAGCACACATACATATTGTACATACATACTTAGATAGGTACATACATAAGAATATATAAATTTGTATAAAGTGAGAAAATAAACCGAATGAAAACGAAAAGTTAATCTAATGAAAGTTTAACTTTATCGATTAAGCGAAAATTTAAAAATGTAGACGAAATTTTTAGAACTGAAAAGAGTAAATAATTAGGTGATGAACTAAGCATGCATAATTGTAATTAAAAGCTTAAGTATACATACATACATGCATAAGTATGTAGTTAATTAGGTTATTAAGTAAATACTTATAATGAAGTAGAAAACCACAAGATAAAAATTGTACATTATAAAAGAAGAATTTTTAAGCGAAAATGTTTCTATATGTAAAATAAAAATATATAAAAAACAAAAGAAAAATCATGCTACAAAGTAATTGTAATTATTCGCGCTTAAGTATTAGACAACAAGAAAAGCAGAAATTTCTCAAACAAAATTAAAGTTAGTTCTTAAAATATTTGAAA